TATATATCAAATAAATAAGCACAAGATAAACTACAGTGGATACATTCAAGGAAATCATGTCCAGACATGAAATTGGTAATATATAAGCATTTGATACACAACGCATCATTTGAGGTGCTCCTGATATTACTAGAATGTGGCAATTAGGTTCGTACCCATCTTTTGCATGACATAAATAGGTAGGCAAGAAGACTGATCCATTTTTCTCACTATAATCTCCCAAAGCAGTTTGAATTATAATGACATTTGTGTCATAATGATGGTGATAGGAACAAGCTCTTGCCATCAGGCTTACAATATAAGAAAACAAAGAACAGAAACTGCACAGGAGAGGTTGAAAAGAGAAATCAGTTTGACAATATTGGAAGAAAACTGAGCAATAAACAAGAGATTTTAGACCAAGCTGAATATTGCCTAATCTTTCCTTACTGAAAGACATGTCTCATTAGAGCAGTGTTTCTCAACCTCTGCATCTCTAAGATGTATGGACTTCAGCTCCCAGAATTCTGGGAGTTGAAGTCTACACATCACAGAGAAGCTAAGAATGAGAAACACTGCAATAGAGATATGGCGAATTACCCAATAGACTATGCGCTTTTGGTGAGATCCTAGCCTGTGCTTCCATTCAGGTCTGTCCTTCTAAGTACTATTTTTTTTCTTGTAGGAAGAACCCTACAGTTGCTTCTTCTGTGGCAGATGGAGGGGGAAAGGATGTGCACCCAATATTAGTCTTGGATTGACCCACACAGGGACTTGCATTTAAACAGAGCAGAGCCTACATGCAATGTTTTCATCTGGATATCTGGAAGGCTTTCAGCCCCTAAGCGATTCTATATATTATAAAAAAAGCTGGGAGAATTTTGGTTTGTACCATTTCTGGTTCCAGAAGAGGTTTAATAATACTCTTGCAAGCATTTTCATGCACAAACAAGGAGAAAGGTTTCCATTTTCCCTCTCCGATGTGTGATAGTATACTTGCTAACTGCAGAGAAGGTGTTTTAAAAAATAAAATAATAACTGGTCTGTAAGCAAAACCAAATGAAGAATAGAAAAGAAACATGGTAAGGCAAAATATTATATGGCCAGTACATTAAAACAAAAAAAATAAAAAACAGCAGGCAGAGCAGATAACAACAATACCTGGCAATGGCTAAGAGCAGGAAAGTTGAAGAAAGAGACAGAGTAGCTAATTTTGACTGTACAAGACCAAACCTTAAGAACAAATGCACACAAAGCCAGAGGACAGCAACAGATAGCAAATGCTGTCTCTGCAAAGAAGCTGAAGAAACAGTAGACCACCTGATTAGTTGCTGCAAGAAGATCAGCCAGACTGACTACAAACAACGGCATGACAAAATAGCAACAATACTTGCAAGAAATACTACTTAGCTGCAAGCAAGAACTGGCAGGACCATAAAATAGACAAGCAATAGAAAATGAAGAAGCTAAATATTCTGGGATTTTAGAATTCAAACAGACAAGCATCTGCCACATAACACCCCAGGCTTAATAACTGTCAATAAGAAAGGCAAAAAAGTTGGGATAGTGGACACTGTAATACCTGGGGACAGCAGAATAGAAGAGAAAGAACTAAAGAAACATCACAAAATATAGACCAGCAAATTGAAGCAGAATGACTGTGGCAAAAGAAAGCAAAAATAGTACCAACAGCAATAACTTTTTTGGGTGCAATCACAAAACAACTTGAGCACTACTGGAACACCATCAGCACTGACAAAATCAACCTCAGTCAATTGCAAAAAGCAGCTTTACTTGAATCAGCTTACATCCTGCGGCAATACCTTTAACACCATCAAACAACAACATTGTCTATCTGAGGTCCTTGGGGAGGACTTGATAGGTGAATAAAAATGCCAAGTCCAGTCTAAACATTTGGTTGCCTGTATGACCAACCGTAATAATTTATTAAATGTGTATGAAACATGGGGAAAATACAATGAAATAATATTCACCCAAAATGTTCCCTGCCTCCCAAAAAGGAGAAGACAAAACTCATAAACAGATCACCAAGGTAACAAAGAGTTACTCTAGTTCCATTTGTAATAGCCTTTGAGGCTGATGGGTCCTGGGTTTCTTTTTCTTTCTTTTTCCTCTTTTTTATTAAAAAAAATCTATAATAGCTTGTTTAGGGTTGGAGGTCCAATGGACAGGTAGGAGGAGACGTGGTCTGTAACCTCAGCTAAATCCACATCAAGTCCTAAAAAGGTAAGCTGATCAACTCATCTTGGTATGGGTTGATGTGTTTAACTCCCCTCCCAACCTGTTTGGATTTCCAGATTTGAACTTGGATCTGCTTAGCTATGCTTTGTGGAAGTAGCTTATACTACCCAGAGCTTCCAGTGGTGAAAATCTATTACTTGGTTCATTCCAAGTAATGTTTGCCCAACCTCCAGCTTTTCTTATCTTCAAAGAGATTAAGGCAGCATGAGGATTCTTTTTTAACTTAAACTAGTTGTTTGAAATCAGCTAAAAGTTGTTGTCCGTGACTCCAAAAAAGACATTAAAACCTTAAAATAGCACATCAGGAAAAATGTTACAACATTTTTAGAAATATTTCGAGAAGTTGTCCTATAGAAGCAAATCATGAAAAGGTCCAATATCTTAAGATAAGCTGTAACCTTGCTAATTAACATGCAAATGAGTGAATGTGCATTAAATGGATGTGAATAACAGTTGGATTTATATGGTATGCAAAGCCAGAATGAGAATATGCAAAGCCAGAATAAGCCAAACTCAGCCATTGCGTATTAAAATCTTAAAATTTATTGTATTGTAGCTATATCAGTTTGGCTTATTCAAAAACATGATTACAAACGGTGGCTTACAGCAAATCTGTGAATCCTACAGCAACTGAAGCACTGAAGAAAGCAGAACATTTAATGTGAACGTCACATCACAAATGGTTTGGGGTTGCACAGACAGCCCTCGAGTCCTTGGTGCTCTCTGAACTTAGTTATTTGCTGCCAAAGGATGACGCTTCTAGGTAACGTTATCAAAGCTAGCGAGTATGGGATTTGCTCCCTATTTATATGCAGTGGTTTGCCAGTCAGTATCGATGAGAGTGGTTTTCTCCTTGGTAGTTCCTTGATTAGGGTATTGTTTTCTGTTTGGGTACAAGCTTGTGGAGAGAATGTGTTCTGCTCGTTTTCGTTTCTTCTTAGCTTTATGTTGTCTCTTTTGAATGGCATGTAAATAAGGTTTATTTCTATGTGTTTGCTGATGGCAAATTTGTCTGAATGCCAAGCTTCCAGGAATTCCCTAGAGCAGTGATGGCGAACCTTTTAGAGACCGAGTGCCCAAATTGCAACCCAAAACCCACTTATGCATCGTCGGGTGCCGGGTGGGTGTGGCCCATTGGGTGAGCGTGGCTGCGGTGGTAATGGCAGACTGGGTGGGACTAAAAAGTTCAATCAATCAGTTCCAACTTTGCGAGATCTTTTTTTTCCCCGCGAGAAGTTGAAATTGACTGATTGATTGAACCTTTTTTTTTTTTTGGCACATGGCGGCGGAGGCCTAAAGCGAAAAGGTTTTATAAAACCCAGCTGAAGGCCGAGGACTGGGGCGACGGCGCGCGTGCCCACAGAGAGGGCCCTGAGTGCCGCCTCTGGCACCCATGACATAGGTTCGCCACCACTGCCCTAGAGTTCTTGGATCTGGCTAAGACAACTTTCTGTGCAAAAGACCCCCAACTGATCGATCACCCAAGCACCAAACAGGGCTGAGAAAAACGCCTATCACTGCTTTCTGTAAAAATGTGCACATACCATAGGAAACAAGTGTTAGTGTCTGGCCTTCGGGTTGTTTTTTTTCCTTTCCTTTCTATTCTGGCCCTTCACTTCTATGCTGGAGCTGAAGCGTGGAATGAGAACCACGCCTTGCCCTGCACAGAATTCTCTTAGCTCCACAGAACCTGGGCTACTCTGGCATGTAAATGATCAGGCACATAAACAAGTGGGATTAAGAGTTACATCTACCTGGATAATCTTTTTTTATTCAATATATTAAATATATATATATTTATATATATTAATAATTGGAAAAGTCACATACTGGAAATTGGAAAGCAGGGATAGACAAATATAAATGTCAAAAATGGAGGACTTTACAATACAAAGTTATTTACATAGAAAGACAGAAGGTGTCCTGCGGGTGTAGAGCGATACACAACTGTTGGTGGCTCAAGACAAAGAGCCTTCCTTTCCTCTGTATTTACAAGCCAACCCATCGTTCTTCTTATATACATCTTTTACAAAGAGAATACTCAACAGAGCAAAACAGCCATTGTCTAAGCAGAAGGCGGGAGGGACATATGCTTATTTACGGCAAAACTCTCCCTGAACTCTCCCCCCCTACTCCCACCCCCAGTTGCACCAAGGACAGGATGCAAGCAGCTTCTAGGCCAAGGGGTTGGAAAACTTCACTTGCCAAACCTGGGAATGTAATCCAGGGCTGATGACAAGGTCAAATAAGAGAAGGCAACCTTTAAAAAAAAAAAATCTAAGTTTCTAACTGGCCTTCAACTGTCAAATCAACGGAAATGTTCCATTCGTGATACAGACAGTGGCTCCATGCAACACTGTGGAAGAGGGGTGCTGGATTGCACGCAGAGCTGTTGGCAGGTCCTGGAACAAGGCAGCATTGTTTAGGGATTGTGCACGTAACCCGAGAAGGCACACAGGGCTTCCCCCACAAGTAAAAAAAAAAAAATACAAACTCCAAGTTGTCTCAAGTTCAGACAGAATTACATGGCAATTCTTAATGTCCCAGTAACTTCTAAACGTAAAGGGAATGAGGGGGGGGAAAGGGCGCATACAGTGCTTATGGTTTTCAGTCTCCAACCACTGGACTAACATTTTAAAACACTCTTCTGGAAATGTCTCTGGAAATGTTTCTGCAAACTTCCCTCTGGATGGAAGGTGGCAGAACATTCTTTCTGCTAGTTTTCTCTCCCTCCGAGGAAGATAGATGGTGATGGTGGTGGTGGTGGTGGTAGCAGGAGGCAGAATGAGGAGAAACCCAAACAAAGCCACTCTCCCCCAAAGAAAGCACCATTTGGTTCATGGCGGTGGCTTCCTTCCACCTTGTCCTCAGAATGGCAGTGTGTCCATGAATATTTTATCCACAATTGGAGGAGGGGGCACCAGGTCTTCTAGCTTCAAATAGAAGATGCGCTGTAGGCCTTGAGTGCAAAGGGTGCGGAGCTCAGGAAGTTTGCCCAATAATTTTGAGAGGCAATTGGGCTGTACCTGCTCACTGGTGGTGGAAGTCACGTGGTCCTTAAGGCAATTGACAATGCGATTCTGGAGGTCTTCAACCTTCTTTGGCTCCTTCAGCCCATGGCGATCTGGTTGGGTAAGGAAGAAGAAAGCAACAAAAGTCTTATTTTAAAGCATTTAAATATACGACTTTTTCTGGAATTTATTACAAAGCTCTGTCGCTGACGTTTTGCTATGGAAACTACAGGGAAGCTGTGGTTTTTATAGAAACATTCTCGATTATACAAATCTATGTCTCAGCAGCTACATCAGAATAATCCCTGCCTTGTGTTTCACAAAAAATAAAACACAGAAGCAAGCAACGCGAGACCTTCCTTTGGACGTATCAGTTTCATCACATAAAGACAAGTATACAAAAGTTGGGATTCTATGGATTTTTTTTTCAGGGATCTCCAGCAAATGCTGCCTGAGCCACATGGTCTATGATGACTAAGTTGATTATTTTCGACCTCACTAATACTAGATCCTATTCCAGGGACAGAACGTTTGGTCCTCCTAAAGTTACTAAATTGCAACTCCAGACAGTTATGATTAACGATGAGGGATGCTGAGGCTTGCTTTTTAGCACCAGAAGCAACTGGGTAGACACAGGTTTCACACACTTGAATTACACTTTTTCTGAAGACTTCTATATTACAGGCATGAGTTAAAAATATTTTCACATATATATATGAAAATAAGACCTTACAAATAAGACCTTACATTTCTGGCTCATTACAGAGCTTAGAATCTCTCAGTTTCCATATTCCTAACAAGAAAAGTTGTTTGGTCTTCTTAGGATTCCCTTCACCCTCCATTCTATATTGTATTTCCTGCTTGCGTGTCTCTCTGTCCGCTTGTCCGTATGTTTTTCTCAAGAGCCCGCCTGTCCACTTACCTGTAATTATGACAAGTGCTGCAAGACAGGAGAAGGAGGGCACATCAATGTTCATGCGGTGGAGGTTCTGGGAAAATTCTATGATGGAATCTATCCATTCCCCAAAACCCCGGACACACTGCACACGATGCAGCACAACACCATTACAGAAGATAAGTTTGCCTTCTTCTGGCTTGGATCTGCAAGAGACAGAACATTGTGTGGTCAGAGAAGAGGCTCAGAAACGGACACCTGAAATGGAATATGGTAGTAATGGCAGAACTATGCAGAAGATCCCAAATTCAACCTCTGGCTTCTCCAGGATGAGCTAAAATCAACTCATCCCCATAGATCAGGGGTAGGCAACCTCGGCTCTTTTATGACTCATGGACTTCAATTCCCAGAATTCCTGAGTCAGCTATGCTGACTCAGGAATTCTGGGAGTTGAAGTCCATGAGTCATAAAAGAGCTGAGGTTGCCTACACCTGCCATAGACCCTGTGGATTAAGATGACAGTTAAGTGCACAGTATTTCCTTCCTTACCAATTGTGACTGAGAAAGGGCGGCCCACAAGTGTGGGTGGCTTGTGTTATTTCTAATTATCACATTTAGAGTTGCTTGTGTTAATTATGTTTTTATTTGCTGCTTCTCAGAACAAATTCAGGGCAGCAAATATAGCTCTTGCATGCATCAACAGATATTCTATTTTCTTCTCTCAGCTGCACTGCAAGGTGGCTAACCCAAGCAGGTGTCATGAAGCCAAGATAAACTTCACACCAAGCTGTTTTAAGCCTTAAGTCCCCTGGTCAAAGTCTGACATGCTATCCAATTTATTATCTCAACAGGTTTGCTTTCTCATCTTGCAGGATTACGTTGCCACTTTGAATATTGCTCTTACTTTGATACCTGCAGCCCCTAAATGTCTCTCTAGTGTCATTTCTAATGTCCTATTGATTTATCTAGTTATACACACATACCCATATTTTATTTTAAAAATCCTGAAATGTTAGTTATATAAGCATAGGATAAAAGCAACATACACTCACTTTTAAAAATCCCTTTAAACATCCCTGCCCAGAAGTACACTACTTTACTGAGCCAGGAGAGTTCATTCATTCATACTGGCATCATTGCCCAGGGCAAATACTCACTAGAGTAGTTATGTGGAGTATAAATCAAATTAATGAAATAATTGGAGTGGCAGCCATTATATATTTTAATGTTAGTAGTAGTAGTAGTAGTAGTAGTAGTAGTGATAATAGTGATCAATTCCGAGAATGCAAAAGTCGTAAGTCTATGGTAACTACAACTTCCTTTTTTCTGATGTTCAAGCCACTGGTGCTGTTGGTTCCATCACTGCAGAGGTCAGTGTCCATTTTCCTTGCCTACTGGACCATTTGGAAATGGTCACCGAAATGCACCCAAAGTCCTCCAATGGAGCTTATCCACAAAAGGCATCCCAGCCTCTTTGCTGTGCTCCTTTGATGTTAAGGAGCATACGTAACACTTCAAAATGATGCTGCACAAAGTTATAACTCAAAGTATTGAATGGTTTCATGTGAACTGTTTCTAGATTGCAAAGGCTAGGAGCCAGATGGAGCTAACAGACATGATGGTTTTTACTATTTAACTGAAAGGAGTAGCTAAGACGTGTTACCTGTATGCTAGCCGTAGAATGAAGAGCTCTAAAAATGCAGATTCCAAAAGCAGGTCCTGGTCTTCTTTCGGAAGCTCTAGGAAGCCCTGAATCTTGTCTGCCCATTTCCGGATCACATCCATCGAGCCCGTTAATAGGTCATAGAACAGCTGCACATCCACACAGTCCTCCTTCTCAAACTGATAGGAGACAGATTCCTGGAACTGACAACACAAGCAAGTAAGTCTTTAGAAAAGAAGTACATTTCTTGTAAGGTGGCAAGCATTCTAGAAGGCACACTCAAGAGTTCCTTTATTCTCTAAGTCAGGGGTCCTCAACCTTGGCAACTTTAAGACTTGTGGACTTCAACTCCCAGAATTCCTCAGCCAGCAAGTGAAGAGTTTGCTCCTAGATTATCAGGATGGCTGTCAATCATCAAATGTAGTACTGTAAAATATCTGCTTCATCATTAGTCATTCCTAGCTGGGAATTCTGGGATCTACAATCCAAATATTTCATGCATGCTATCCATAGAAGTTTTCTTCTCTTTGGCCCACGTTGATGCACCATCATCAGGGTTAGATATGAAAAATCAAACCTGTAAATGTTCATATATGGTAACTGAATTTATAGCCCATGTTTTAGTAAATGTTCGTTTTTAACATGTCAATTAAAACTTGACATTGCAAAGTTGAATTCCCCTCATATGAGGAGGACAATGGCAAAATTTCTATCTGTAGTTTTAGCCCAAAGGAACTGGCTGGTCTCTCCCACAGCTTTGTTTTGATGTAATATATTTATATATACAATTTTCTCCTGAATTGCTGTATATGTCTTAATGCTTATTGGCTTGGTTTTGAACTATAAATTAATAAACAATAACAATAATCTCAACTCTTCTAAATGTCATCCAGTTAGGGATAGCCAATGTACACCAATAGCTCATGAAATATAGCCACTGAACAATAACAATCTGTTCAAATAATAGTGCCCAAAAATAAACTAAAGAAGTCATGGCTGTGAAGTGACAGCTGTTACATTGCCACCTAAGATGGTTTAAATAAGTATTATGTGCATGATTTTTAAAACAAAAAGATATGGATTCTGAATTGTCCTGAAAACCTCTAGCTAAATGGTGATTGAGAATTTTTAAAAGTACATAGATATGTACTTTTCATACAGAAATGTCTATCACTGGCTAAAAGGATACATGAACAATACTGGATGAGAGATCTTGGCATGATCCATCACCATTCTTCTGATGCCACCTATTTAATTTGGCAGAGACATTTCAGGCACAAATATTTCACGCGGTATGTGGCCTTTCTCTGAGCCACACATGACCAGGCCTCTAAACCAAGTCTGTATTTTATAAAAAAGCAGAGTAAAAAAGGGAGAGAAACATCCACTGCCTTCTGTGGAAGAAGCATAAGAAGCTTCCAAATCTCATTACGATCAAATGATGGTAAGAGGATTGAGATCCAAAGATATCAGGCATATTTTCTCACTTCTCAGTTTCAGAAATTCAACCCCCCCCCCAAAAAAATGCTAGTGTCTAGGCAGGACTCACTGGAGAAGAGCCTAATGCTGGGAAAGATTGAGGGAAATAGAAGAAGGGGACGACAGAGAATGAGGTGGCTGGATGGAGTCACTGAAGCAGGAGGCGTGAACTTAAATGGACTCCAGAAGATGGTAGAGGACAGGAAGGCCTGGAGGAACGTTGTCCATGGGGTCGCGATGGGTTGGACACGACTTTGCAACTAACAACAACAAAAAGGCAGGGCACAGAATCTCACATTTTCAAAGATGTAGAAAAATACCTTGGAATAGTCAAGTTTGGTAGCGCTGGGTACAGAATCTATGTGTGCTCTCACAAGAGAGGAGATGAGGCTGACCGGTGAAATATCTTGAGCTTGTTTGGGCTTGGAGGGCAGCCGGCCACGTCGGCCTTTCAGGCTATCGGTCCGCACCACTGAAACAAGAGGAAAAGGGAAGGGGAACAGAAAGGCGAGGAGAGGATTATAGGCAAGCAAGAACTATCACCAAGAGAAACCCACAATCTAGGAACAGCTGCTTCTTTTTTTAAAATCAAGGACCACAAACTGAATCTCAGCCAGGGGCATATGATGTTACGTTTCTGTGCAGCTTAGCACCATCCAATGGGGTTTAGAGCTGTGCAGGATTTTATACCTTATGAGGGCTTTTTAGAAGGGCAGAATGCAGCATTCTCTAAGATTTGTTTGGGTTTGGCCTAGCCTGTTTCTGAACCCTGACATGTCGGCTTATTTTGCTTTATGATTTCATTTGATTCATGATTTAGTCAACAAATCACACCAAGGATTTAAGCAGTGTGTGACCCTGGTCAAAGACTCTAACACCCCAGGAACTACTCTGAGCAGCCAGAGGAAGTGGTCAGAAGCTCTAGCTTGTTTTCATTAAATTTTCAACCTTAGAAAAATCCATGGAGGAAAGTGATGTTCCATTGATTGCCCCCTGTCACAAGGCTCTGAATAGCTCAGTTCCAAAAAAATGAAGATCTTAATGTCCAAAATAGGGTACCAATCCTCCTGGCCTGAAACCTCACCCTGATTCTATACATAATACAGTTAAAGTTGTTTGGCTTAGCACAAAAAGCCAGGCAACTGCCCATATTGATAAGTCATTCTTAAAGAGTGGACGTTTCCTACGATTTCAGCCCATCCCAATGGCTACAAAGAGGTTTTAAACCCTCCTTTGCAATTACAGGTACTGGAACAGGCAAGCGAATTGCGTAACAAATGCAGGTAAAATACTATGTTTCTTCTTCTTTTTTTGTAGCCAGTTGCCATTCCCCTTGCAAATATTTAATTTGAACTGGGAGCCAAATATCTAATTCCAGTCTCTTGCAGCCCTCTTCAACCCAGAAACTTACAGGCACGTGGAAGCTCAACTATTAAAATGCCTCACCAGCCTGGGTTTCAGAGGACCTTAGGATGAAGAAGGCCAGTGAACAAGAAGGAACATGCCTCACCTTCTTTGACCATTCCCACAGCAAGGCACTTCTGGAACCGACAAAACTGGCACCGGTTTCTCCGCCGCTTGTCCACAGGGCAATCTTTGTTGGCTAAGCAGATATATTTGGCATTCTTCTGTACTGTGCGCTATGAGAGAGAACATAAGATTAAGCTGTTATAAATGAAGGGCATTTCAATCTTGGTGACAGGGAGACTAAGAGGTATTAACCAGAGATATATTTCTTCCAATATTTTGACAGCCTAGGTGGTTTCTCATGTAAGCATGACCAAAATCTCATGTTCCATCTAGGTGCATCTTCAGTGCGCAGCTAGACCTGAATACCTTCATTTCCAGGTAATAAGATTCTAATGTCACAGAAATTGAAGCTGAAACAATAGAAACTGCACGGAGCAAGCATAACTTTAAGTATCAGCTCATCACCTCTGGTGAGAAAGAATGCAAAGTGTTTCTCCTTTAGGAGAACTCCTAGTAACTCCAGCCTGCATTCGTTATTGTAAAGGATGTTGGAAACAGTGGTTCAACATTTTGAGGGTCTAACATTCCCCATTCCTTTGCATTATTGGATTGTGGTATCTACATAAAAAGACACCCACCCACACATGCACTGAGGTGACATTCTTTTCATGATGTTACACATATGACAGACCTAGTGCACCTAAAATCACTGTACAGATGATTCAGCAATCCAAACAATACACCTTTCAAGTATTTTGGAAAAGCAGGGATACATCTGGAAAGTCCTCTTTCCATTCAATTGGTGGAAATGCAAGGGAAGCCAAATTCTTCAGAAGACAGCTCTTTATTTATCCATAGACGTTAACCCTCTAGCTTTCCCAGTTTCTAATTTTTTCAAATTTGTTCATTCCACCTTGTTTTAGCATATTTTTTTAAAAAATTTACTTTGGAATGTATACATTCCTGCATGCAGGTTTCTTTACTTTAGGCTTATTTATAAGTCTTGGCAGCAGAACATTCAGAGATGGATAACACAGTCATAATGGGACTGTGAACATATATCAACAATACAGTAAACTGTCACTTTCTTGGTCAGGAACATTTAACAAAAGGCAGGGCAATCAAGGTAAGTGTTGGGACTGCAGAAAACCCTAGAAGTTGAAGAACTTGCATTTCTTCTTGCATTTCTTCTTTCCTTTTTGAGGCTGAGTGGGGCCTGTCTTCTTTCCTTGCAGAACTAAGACAATGTCTTTATTTATTCATTTGTTTGTTTGTTTCCATCTATCCCTCCTTCAGGAGCTCTAGGCATTGTGTATATGGTAGCATTCCTCCTATTTTTCCCCAACAACCACAATCTTGTGAGGTCGATTGGGCTGAGAAAGAGGGGCTGTCTTCAAATTACCCAGTGAGCTTGCATGGCTGAGGGTAGGTTAGGACCTGGGTCTCCCTGGTGCTGGCCCAACTATGCCTAAGACGCCTCAGAGGCTAGACTTGTTCCCACTGTTGCCTAGTAACCAAGAATAAAGGGACTTGTCTGGGCCTAGCGTGTGTTGGCTGGGAAACCCAGCCTAGAAACAGGCTGCAAGCAGAGATGGCAAGTTCAAGGTATCAGAGTTTTCCAATGCTGAAGCCTCCACTGACAAATAAAGGCAAAGAACTCTAAACCTTTCTAAATTAAATATGGAAGAAAATTTAAAATGGGCACAAAGACTGCAATTATATATGCAAGTTACAGATGAAGAGCAAAAGTCAGGAGACTGTACACATTGTATGGATGGTGCACTGTACAGGAGAGAAAGCTTTAAAAAAATCCTTCTTACACTGTTGCAGACCAGGCAAACAAAACACTAGCAACAGCTCTCACTGCATTTCAAACGGATTGGGAGCCTAACTGAAATCCTGTTTTTCAATAGCTCCAGTTTTGGCAACTTCCTAACAGCCACTAGATGGCAACAGAGAGAGATAGAACCTGTCTCTCTGCCACCATCTCTCGGTCACCTGAATGTTTGCAGCCTGTGAATGGCGGACTTATTCTTGAGGAAGCATGGAGATAAGTTAATGTCATCATACTCGAGAGAAAAATCTCAACATTATAAATTTGGAGCCACCACAATGCTAATGCAACATTATTTTGGAAAATACCATAAAATAAACAAGACCCCATTCTTAATTACTGGGATAGATAAAATGTTTAAATTATCTGTGTTTTGTATATGAGATGTGGTAGTTATCTTACATTAAACATTGCAAAGTAAGCAAGAGATAGTTTACTTTTCACGTAAGTTAATATCTGTAGGTAAAACAGATGTAAAGTTGGTTGACCATAATATTACATACTAGTAATACCAGTATTAAACTTAATAATGAAGTTTACTTTTGGCAGAGATTCTCATTTGTTTCCTTTGCCCTAGGGACCCACTAACCCTTGATTTGCTTCTAAGCAAAGCAATTTTCTCTAATATAATGTACTTTTGCAATTTCCTCATTATATAGAGTTGTATACATTTTGGTCCAAACTATTAAATTAGAAAAGTCAGAATAAACTTTGTTTTGGCTTGACTTGGGATTGTACAGTATTGACTTTGGAATTACAAATTAGGTTCATATTCAAATGTGAAGCAAAGAAATCCATCCCTTATGTATTTATCTGTTTTAGAGAAGTCATTCAATCAAAAAAAGGCATATTCTGAACGCAAAACCAATCACCTAGGTTGAGATTTGCATGCTGCAAAACAGATGTGCAATTGAATGGTTAGATCCTGAAAACATAGCCATGAATTCCCCCTTTCCCCCACTTCTAACCATCTTTCTAGAATATATCCAAATTGCAAGGAGTCACCTGATTGTTCCACCACCATAACCACTCAAAATCTCCCTCATGTCAATTTTATTTACTTTATGAAGTAAAGCAAACCATGTGTGATTTTCTTCATGGAGTTTGTAATGTTTTGTTCAAATGGGATTTAGCTCTTTAGCTAAATTTGTGGTCCTAGCAGCTTTCTTTCACTTCAACCCTAATCTCGGGTTTATTGGGAAACATCTATCTGCCATTTCTACCCAGAACATAATCCAAACTGGAACAGGTGGATGTCCCTCCATTTGTCTCACTATGGATTGAATCCCTGCCTCACTTAGAAATTTGTGGGGGGGAACATGTGCAGTTAAGGAAAAACTGGAAGTTAGTGTCTCCATTGCCCTATGATTTCAGGAAGATTCCTTTCTATGTATTTGGAAATTATTCATACCACTGTTACACTCAAAATTGATTTCAGACCCATTCCTTCTGCCAAGATCTTGGGTGGGATAGCTACTGGTTATTTGCAGCAGGGAACTTTATATCTCAGAGACATTAACACCTTTATTTATGGTTGCAAGAAAGGAGATTTGTGGCCAACGTAGCACGATCTACACTAAAATGGCTCTCTGTAGGATATGTTGAACTATTATTCCTATGATTCCCAGCCAAGCAGACTAAATGTATCTGGTGGTTAAAAGTTGAGCAAAGTAAAAGAAAATCATGTGCTGCAAGAAATCACATTTAATATTAAAACACATGTAAAATCGAGCTGAAGTACAGGTAGTCCTCGACTTACAACCACAACTGAGCCCAAAATTTATGTTGCTAAATGAGACATTCGTTAAGTGAATTTTGCCCCATTTTACAACCTTTCTTGCCACAGTTGTTAAGTGAATCACTGCAGTTGTTAAGTTAGTAACACGGTTGTTAAGTGAATCTGGCCTCCCCACTCACTGACTTTGCTTGTCAGAAGGTCGCAAAAGGTGATTGCATGATCCCCGGGACACGGCAATTGCCATGAGTCAGTTGCCAAGCATCTGAATTTTGATCACGTGACTACGGGGAATGCTGCAACGGTCGTAGGTGTGAAAAACGGTCATAAGTCACTTTTTCAGGGCTGATGTAACTTTGGTCGCTAAATGAACCGTTGTAAGTCGAGGACTATCTGTGTTTTGATAAAGCAGTTTTGGTGATAATGCAGCACCTATTAACTGAGTTCTACTGATTTACAGCAAAATAATCATTAATGTTCAGTGAGTCACAGTATCAAGGCACCCTTAAGAGTCGCAGGCTGCTTTTCAAAAATCTTAGCTTTTATGGCTACACACTGGCCAGACATACTGGTTTAGTCACCTAGCTGAGCTCCATCGGAGCTCTTGAAGCTCTGCTCCTCTCAGCAGGCTCACGAAGAGCCCTTCCCAGAGAAAAAGAGACAGGCCTTTCTCTTACAAGTACCGCTATTCTCCACAAAGGCAGGGAACGCCCTCCATTTCCTATCACAGCCAAACCACAATGCAAGGGAGAATTCAAGAGACGGAAATGTGTGCTGTCGAGAGGCCTCCTTGCCAGAAGCGCCTGCCGGGGAGAGCACATTAGCGGTTGCTCAAAGTAACCAAATGTGAGGAAGGCAGACCCTGTTGCACTGGCGGTATTTTCTGACAGAAGTCAGAAAGGACATCCCAAGGGAATAATATCTTTTCTTTTTGACCCAGTCCAGCCTTCCTCAGGCTGAGATTAGACAGGGAGAGCTACGCTGTGGGCTGCAAGCATGAAAAGGAGCGGGAGTGAAAATTGTATTTCAAGCTTTTCCTTACATGTTGTTGTTTAAAAAAAGAAAGGGGGGGGGACTTGGCGAGTAGTGAACTTGCAGCCTTCTGGATGTTGCCAACTTCCAGTTTGGAAGGTCTGGTTTGGCTGCAGCTGTTGAAGTTTGTACTTCAGCAACAACTGGAAAGCTGTAAACCTAGCTTGTTTACTAGCTTGCCTTATAGCATCCTGAAAGTAAGTTCATCCCCTGAATGTGAGTTTTTGCCTAGCCAAGAGAGATATAAGGATGCAGATATCTGCAGGTGTGGAGAACCCCAAAGTTTGCAGAAGGCCTAAGATGAATATTTGGGAGAAGAGACCCCCCCCCCAAAAAAAGCACTGTGAACACAGAATACTGATTGAGTGCCTGCTGAGAGAGAACATCCCAAAAAGGCTTTTCAAAGGGAAAGGGAGGGGAAGATGGCCGTCCTCAACTTGCTGTCCTCCAGAGGCATCGGATGTGCAGTCCCCAGGATTTCACAGCCAACTCTGTATGGAAGATTTTCCTGGTCTAAGTGCCCACTCAATAAACAGTGGTCAGACTAGAGAAGCTGAATATACTAGGCTAATTTCAGGTATGCTATTTGACTGTGTTCTCCTCTCTATTCCCCACTGGTTACAGACCTGTCTCCCTTTCTGCTTTTGTGGCCTTCCAAAATCTCTGCATTCAGAAGGGCAGTGGCCATCTTTGGGATGCTAAGCCATCCAACAGATCGGCCTCCTCCCGCTTGGGATGCTACAGGTATGTCCAATTACAATTCCTGTAATTCATAACCAGTTCCTCATTTTTCTCACACTGTTTCCTCAGAGCTGCGAACGGACATTTCAATTCTTCTTCAGGTATCTGCAATGGTTCCCCATCTTCTATCCCTTCCCGAAGATTCGACCGCTTTTTCCTTGTGATTTTTGCAGAATAAGCCTTTTCCCAAGATGGTATCTGCCAACTCCATTGGGCTGCAGCTCCTTTAATTTTTGTTCTTAGCCTTCTCCCCTCTTCCCTCCCCCCCATTTTTACAGCAATCTACAATGCCTTTTGGGAATTCTGTGCACCAAGGAGTTACCGATTCTCGGTTGCCTTAGGTCTCAACAGTTTCCAGATGAAATAAGGGTAGCCTCTGAAATACACAGAAGGATTGATATGGACTTAGGGCTTGCCAGAGCTTTTCTACAGCCTCCCACTAAAAGAATTTTTCCCCCTGCCACCTACCCTTATGAGGGGAAGAGAGTGCTTACAATGACCTCCTTTATTTAGAAAGCAGTCAGAGAAAGGTCTGATGAGTCATCCCTATGGCAGTCAACACATAGCAAAGGCTTTTCCTTTCCCTCCCTGGAAAAAGAGGTCTTCAAATCCCGGCATTCTTTGCTGGAGCTTAGGGACGTGCAGAATGCTGGGATTGTCTTCAGCCAGTCAATCCCAACCTCATGCCCTCCAAATTGGATGAGACTACAGCTCCTCAGCCATTGTAGCAATAAGCCATGCTGGTTAGGGAATTCAGGGAGTTGTTGCTTCAGGCTGACTGGAAGACCACTGGCTATTTTAATAGAACTAGAAGTTTCAAAATCAAGTTCCAACTCTCCTTTGAAATAACGTATTCCTCTTACCTTGAAAAAGCCCTTGCAGCCCTCACAGGTCCGGACACCATAGTGTTGGCATGAAGCGTTGTCCCCACACACAGCACAGCGCCCTTCATTGGATCCAGGGCTGCGTGTCTTTGTTGGAGAGAGGGAACTGTCCATCAGGCCAGATCCATCTAGGCCCGGTGAGGCCTGGCTGAGCGGCAAAGGAGAAAAATGGACTGAAGAGGAGGTTTGTGGGAGTGAAAAGACTTCTCCATCCACCAAATGCTGGTGGGTCGTCGGTTGCATCTTCAGTGGACTCTGGGGTGGGACTCCAGGGCTGTGAGCCGAAAGGCCAAAGGAAAAATAAGATGGTTGAGTAGAACTACTCTTGGGAGGCTCTGCTGCTGCTGCTGCTGCTGCTGCTGCTGCCGCCACCCAAGGCCTCATGCCCTCATAGGTATGAGTGGGGGAATAGCTTCCAAAGGAGTTCTCCCAAGTTGGACCTTGGGAAGTCTGGAAACTTGGTGTGGAAGGGGAAGGGACTGAGCATGGACTGCCATAATAGTCTGAGCCACTTGAGGACATGGTCTCATCCAACTGACTGCTGAAAGGACCAGGATAACAACCATATACTTGGAAATCTTCCAGCTTGAAGGATGTGGTATTGGGGTTCGCAGCTGGAATCTGATAGAGGAAAGCGTCAAATTCGCCTGTATAATTGTCCATGAAGGTGCTAAAGCTGGGCAGAGTAGTAGTGGCAGCAGAGATCTCGGTATTGACCAGGTCCATGATGGGTTTGCCAAACTCAGGGGTCAAGAAGTCTGCTGGGTAGCGCTCGCAGGACCCTCCATTCTGAAGCGAGGTCCCATATTGTGTTTGGATACAGGGCATCTCTATGGGAAGACAAAGGTAGGGAGAAGCAGAAAATCTACTGTTAGATATTGGAGAGATACAAAAGGTCCTCCCTCTCAAGTAGAAGTTAGTTGCATCTATGTTCTATTTTAAAAATTGTCATGAATTGATTTGGCAGAAAAGTGAGCTTAAAGGTGCTATAAAAAGAGGGGGGGTGTCTTGTGAGTTTTCCCTGACCTACTGACTATCAGATGTGCTAAAATGATAACTAGTTAACACAAGATTCTAGAAGCTGTTGTCCCAGAAACGTAGTTGGCAAGAGAAGGCTGGTCTCCATTAGGTACCCTTACAAAAATGGTGGGCTTTTTATTAACATCAGGACAAATTGTTACTTTAGATTTAATACAAACCAAGTCCTTGGCCTTGAACCTCCCTCTTGATCGCCGTTCTAAACTTTTATTTATCGAAGCAGAGGAGCAGAAATGGGGAAGGAAAGAGTCTGGGTCCCTTGTTAAAAGGAGGACTAATATTTCTGATGCACTATTTCTTCTTGGGAATATTAGAGGGAGATACAAGATGTTCTCCTTCCTTTCTATCCCTGATATTCTTCTTCATGAAAAAGAGAAGAAGCTATTAGTCACAATGTTGAAAGTTGGAGTAAATGGTATTTCTTGACTCTTGGAATTGAGAGGCGGTAGTTTTTTCCTCCTCACATATTTATCAGGTTTGCTTCTAAGTTTATTTCTACATATTTTGCTTTATTTTTCTTCTTGGATGAAATTGGGGTACTGTTCAATTTCTTAGGTTTTCTGGATATGCGAAGCAGCTGTCATATACGTATGGTACTACTCCCTAGGCCAGGGATAGGCAACCTTGGCTCTTTTATGACTCGTGGACTTCAACTCCCAGAATTCCTGAGCCAGCATGGCTCAGCATGTAAACCTCTCCCTTTCCCCTCAGCATGGCTGCCTCAGGAATTCTGGGAGTTGAAGTCCACAAGTCATAAAAGAGCCAAGGTTGCCTACCCCTGGCCCTAGGCGATACAAGGTATTCCATGAAGAGCCTCACTACATACACCACAGAAAAGATTCCTATGTTTTTGTCTTAAATTAATAATATTTCTGCCAACACAAGAGACAAGTGCAAAGGTAAAACTACTTTGTGTGTCTAGAAAAGCCATTCTTCTAAAACAATAACAAGGCATTATAATGCAAACTCAGCTGTAGATTTGCAATATACTTATCCCATCTGCTTGGTTAATGTCATTTCTGAGAATAATGAGGGTCAAACATTGATACGATCAAGTGTTTTAATGAGGAAAGAAAGGAAAATGAACAAGACAAACGAGTAAGAAATGCAACGAACACAGAAGGAACAGGAGCCCTTGAGTTTTATACTGGATTCTCTCTCAATGTGGGGAATATGAACTAGAGCATTAAGCCAATACAGGTAGTCCTTGACTTGCAGCAGTTCATTTAGTGACCGTTCAAAGTTACAACGGCACTGAAAAAAGGGACTTATGACTATTTTTCATGCTTACAACTGTTGCATCCCCATGGTCATGTGATCAAAATTCAGATGCTTCAGATCTGATTTGTGACCGTTGCAGCATCCCAAGGTCATGTGATCACCTTTTGCCAAGTGAAATCAATGAGGAAGCCAGATTCACTTAACAACCCTATTACTAACTTATTAACTGCAGTGATTCCCTTAACAACTGTGGCAAGAAAGATCATAAAATGGGGCAAAACTCACTTAACAAATGCCTCACTTAACAACAGAAATTTTGAGCTCAATTGTGGTTGTAAGTTGAAGACTACCTGTAGCATCATGAGAAATAGGCAAGCGTTCTATAAATGTGCTCCAAGTGAAGAAAAAACAACCCCAGCATATTTCAAGAATTTCCTTATGAAAGTTAAAGGACTGAAGTAACCATCTGTTTATCTTAAACGACTTCCCATAGCTTGTTAAAGCTTGATTCTGAAATTTCTACTGCCGCTATTTATTCCATCTTAATTTTACAAACTTGGAACCATCAATATTCCAAAGTTCTGAAACAACTTGACATATAAAACCAAGGTAGAATTTGGTTTGGACTCAGTTACGGAGCAGGCCTTTCCCTAATATTATGAGGCAACGTGGTTTTGAAAACTTGACCTTCAGGTTGGTGAACTAGGGAGCAAAGAAAAATGTATCCTGCCTCCAAATTGAATTTTTCTCTTATCATCTCAATCTCAATCTCCTATACAAAATGCCCAGTCCTAGAAGCAATAATTCTGTTCTCACCTGCATCACAATCGGTGCAGTTATTAAAAAAAGGAAATGTCGTATGTCCCTGCCTTGTCAGCAGTGCAGAGGAAAACGACATTATACGAAAAAAGGGGTTTGGGTCATGTTGTATTCTACTTGATCATCCCACTTCTATCTTATTGTAGTTCTTTGTTTGAAGCAGATCCATCTAAATGTTTGATTTGTCTCTTAAGCAGCAGCCCCTGACAAGGAACATGAAAACTGGACCTGTCAGGAAGACAGAATCTCAGAGCTTTATAGTGTCTTTGAGAACTTCCCAAAAGAAGAATTATAACTGGAAGCATTAGCCGAGATGAAAGTCAAGTCTATACCAGCAACTCTTGTGGTAAAATGAAAGTTGGTTAGGTTCTGTTACCAAAAGCTGCTGCTTTAGTAGAGGAAAGAATTATGGGATGTTGAGACACAGAGAATTCCAAGAGATTTTTAACACTGCACCTTTGAAATAAGGCTGTCTCCCATTTCTGAGAGGGACAGGCGCTCCTTTTTTAGTAGCTCGCATGCAAATCTTTAGTTGGAAATAATCCTCACTCTGCTAATTAAAATCGATAAAAAATGACAGACAACCTGGAATTTGGATGGGTAAGAACTACATCACCTAAGAAGTGGCTATCTGTTCCAGAACAAGTAGTTTTCGACTTATAACCATAATTGGGACAGGAATTTTGACCACTAAGCAATGCAGTCATTAAGTCATCATGTGACCGGACCTGATTTCAAAACCATTTTATACTGTGGTCATTAAGCAAACTCGGCTTCTCCAATTGACTTTGCTTGATAGAAGCTGGCTTGGAAGGTTGTAAACGATGATTACTTGATCACAAGATGCTGTCGCCATCATAAACGCAAGCCGATTTTCCAAGCACCCAAATTGTGATAGCATGGCCCTGGCCATGGTGTTGTGGTTGTAATTTTGAGGATAGGACGTATGTCACTTTTTCCAAGCCCGCTATAACTTTGAACCATTGTTAAACAAACCATCGTAAGTCAAGGACCACCTGTGTTGAACGACAATTGAAAAAACAAAACTGAAGCTTGCAGCTTCTTCTCAATTTGTTAAGAGGGTCAATTGATGTTGGCAAAAAAGATTTTGAAAAATATTGTCGATATCCTTTTTTTTTTTAATGAATGTGGTTCCTATTAAGGTTTTTCCCAGTTAATTTGTCCCCAGATTTGAGCAAGACTTCAACACGTGCGTGAATTGATATCCTGACCTATCTTAAGCTCTCAAAGAGGAAGTGGCAGAGGGACCACGATTCTCTCAACTGCTAAGTGATTTGAGTCCCTTGCTGAGTTTTCATCTGAGACAAGGTTTGCATTTACAGCCTAGACTGGCCAATTCTGCTCAACATCTCTGCTTAAAAGAAAAGATCTTGTTCACGCATCTTTGAAACCTCAGTATGCCGGCATAACCTCCCTGCACACCCACTGACGCTATCTGATCTTGTTATTCTGCATTCTTAAAATAGAACTTGGATATCCAATTGTTAAGACTTGTTATGATTTGTTCCAATGTAGCAACAGGTGATACTCAGGGCTCCTCATAACACAGGATTTATTAGCATACTCTCCCCAGAGAAAGTTCTGACGTCTGCAAATCTGCGAGAGCAGCATCTCTCTAGGTCAGGGGTAGGCAACCTTGGCTCTTTTATGACTCGTGGACTTCAACTCCCAGAATTCCTGAGCCATCTATGCTGGCTCAGGAATTCTGGGAGTTGAAGTCCACGAGTCATAAAAGAGCCAAGGTTGCCTACTCCTGCTCTAGGTAAAGCAGGACTAGGGAGCTCCATTGCAGGAGCTGGAATCCTAATCTTAGGTGTTGTTGCTAGCACCAATGAAGACAAGGCCTGATTGGACAGCAGATATTTAGCAAATAGGAAGGATCAGCAGTGGGCCTTTTAGCACAAAGCTCGGTGCAATACTTCTCATGTTGTTAGTCCTTAGTGTGCAAGCTTTTTAAAAAGTCTTTTTTTTTTATTAAAAAAAAGCAGCAATTGTGAAGTCTTTTATCCAGTCTGGACATTTAGATCTTTGTGATACTGTTCTAATTTGGACCCTTCCCTCCCCCGTTGCCTTTTTTTAGGCCTCCATGCTAAATCTAACTGTACAACAATGTCACAGTGATATTATCTACAGCTCCTGTGGAGAGGGAAAAAAGGACAGCACTTGTAAATCAGAATTAAAAGAAAAGGGCTTGATTGATACTAGCTTTACCCCTGGGCTTGAAGGCATAAATATCAAAATAAAAGTAAGAGTAAAGACAAAGGGGCTGAAGCGCAGCCTCAGCCCACCCATGGACTGAGAAATCAATAGTGGAAATACATTATGCTCTGAAAGTACACAATGAAATTGAGCTAATTGAGGTGGAATCTGAGAAAGTTCGTGGCTGTTCCACTGTTTTTTGCCAAGAGTCTCCATATGGAAGGTCTCATTTCCCCACACTTTGCTACTGGCCTAAAAATGTGCATCATCACCCTCTATTAAATCCGAATGCCATCCAACTCTCTGCTACTCTGCGGCTCACAACGATCAAACAAAGCCATTAAAGTAAGAATTACTGCTCTAAGAATATGGCATTACAAAAAATGAAATTCTTTGACAATGGAATAGAGAGATTTCTTTACTGATCTGACATTCAAAGGGCAGGCAACACACTTCTGGTGACAGTCTTATAATAATAGAAGGCTGAATCCACCCAACAATTACCTGAGGAGATAATAGCTGGAGTACTAGATATTTCCCACTGTGGCCATAAAAAGTATTTTTAAACGGGATTCACCAGAAAAGGCATTTCAAGGTATTTCAGTTCCTCTCTTTCTCAATGCCTGCCTAGCTGCCTAAAAACACTTCTACTTGTGCATCTGTGGCTGGTGCTCCAACCCTTTTCCACAGAGTTACACCAGGGAATCAAATGAGAGAAGAACTGGAATTAACCTCCTTTGTAGCACAGAACATTGTTGGAAGCACAAGTGTCTTTTTTTCCTGCAGGCATTGTTGCCA